TACTTCCGGCTCATCGCGACTCTGACGGTTGCGGAACTGCGCGCATATACAATCCAGTAACATAACCTGGGTAGCTAAGGCGCTAGAACGTCAAATTCTAAACCGAACGGTCACGGATTCAAACCTCGGTCTCGTCACTAGCCTTCCTACCTTCCGAGGATGAAAAATGATCACCACTATGTGAGAAAGTAACAGGTGACTTGCTCATGCTAGCCTTTAAAATAAGACAACCCTGGCTAACTGCGTCAACGCCCCACCATTAATTTCATCAAAAGAGTGCCAGAAATTACTCCATGATGAATATGCAAGGAAGTCCTACATTCTGTAAGTTACATGCTTTTGTTTACTGTCCTTCCTTTCCTAATCACCGAACCCGTTCGATCAAACTTAGTTGTCCAATGTCCCTGTAGACGCCACCAGATCGCTGCCAGGAAAATGACTGCGGAACTTCTCTTCGAATGGCTACAGCCATTGTAAGAGTACTGTGAACAAAAAACTGATGCTACCTGACCGCATGGCCAAACCAACCAGATCTACGACACCCACTGATAGGGTGTGATTCGATAAGTTCGATGATAGGATGAAATCGTGCCTTTTGATATTGAAAAGTCATTTCTGACAGGACATAAACAACTCAAACTTGCTAAAATGAATAACTTTTACATCTTATAGCTAGTTTAAGCACCATATATTGAGCATAGGAACACAAAGATAAATTTAAAAATTTTACAAAATAACAGTATATAGTACATAACAGAAACGGAGTTACGGAATACTGATCGGCGTCAAGGAGAACTACGGCTGCGGAATGAGCTGACTTCGCAACTGAGTGCGAGCTCCATTTACAAAATTTTCAGAAACTGCGTCAAATTATTCGAATATCTACCACTGATCATAGCGATCTCACTGTCCTCAACGAAAACAAAAAAAACATTAAAATTAACAGCATAAAAAAAGCTAAGAACAGGCAAATGAGAAAAAAGGAAAAGAAATCAAAAGTACTAAATAAATAAAC